AGTCGAGTCACTCTCTCCGTAACAGCTTCATAATTACCCTGAAATTATTAAAATGATTCTGATTCAGAAGCCAAATCACAAAGGAATTCGTGTTCAGAGACGCTCGGGCAGTGAAAGCATCTCTTTAGCATGCAGCTTTGCATTTCCCGTCTCCATCGCAGATATTTGTTCACACGTCTCCTTTCAAAGCTTTTCTATTTAAACCCTTGCTGGCATTTTGCTTGCCGATATATTTATTTTCCAGCAAAATGCCAGCGAGGAAACTTCATCTGCAACCTTTTAAATCATTAAAAGCTATTTCTCGGCTTTTTTCTCTTTCGATTTAAATTTAAATCAGTGCATTTGCTTCCTAAGCTGACCGTCAGTGATACTGAATGAACCAGAAGACAGACAGATCTCTTTTTTTCTTCCGTCTCAGTAGGAAAGGCGTCCATTAAACCATATCCTCCTTCCTCCTCTGTCTGAAGCCTGTGTACCCTTAGACTAATGGCCTCCCTTCATGTGTTATTCTGTATGAAGCTGTCTTTCATCCAGCATGATAATGGAGGCCAAGGCTGATCGCTGGTTAAGTGAAGGAGGAGGGTGGGAAGACGGCTCCACAGACACGGACGTTGAATAAATGGTTGAGGAAACTGCCTGTTGAGCAGATCTTTTGAGTATTTCCTACATAAATAGGCTTTGATGACTGAATGCAGCTGCCAATATCAGAATAACCTGAATCCAAATCTGGTAAAGAAGCAATAAGAGCCTCAGACACACTACGAAGGAGCCTTTAGCGCTGGAGCTGGAGCCTTACTGCGGACAGGACGGAGCCAAGTCTGCCTGCATTGCCCAGCAGACCTGACAGAAAAGACAGCAGGTCGGTATCATGTTCACACCACTCGGTCCAGCTGTAAAAGCTGTGTGGAGCGTCAGTCGGTATCTGGCAAAGGTCCCGGCGCCTGCGAGTGGATGTGTCACCTTCATCGCTAACGCTTCCATTGTGACCTCACTGCCACATCACCTCGCCGATTCCTGGAACTGCCCACACAGACCTCCGGGAAGCAAAATGAAGGAAATAAATCACAGGATTCTCCGTAGAGGACTGAGTGGTGTTGATTGGCTCGTGCTTCCATTTACTGATCAAAATCTGTAAAATTAAGAGGCACGGTCTCCTCTGTGGTCTGTATGGGCCAGAGTGGAATGTGGCGTTGGAAATGAAGTAATCTGTGTGTGTTGAATCGTATTTTTTAATGTGATTCAGCAAAACTGAGCAGATTTCTCCCCTCAGAGGAAACGCTCAGCTCACCGCTGTGAGCAGCTGATTGGACATTGTCATGAAACTGTAATCTCAGCAGAGGCTGTGAGGCCTGTAACCTGAGAGATGCTGGAGGATTTCCTGGTGTGGGCAGAGTTCCCAAACTGTGTAGCTGCACTGAGGCCTGACAGTAAAGCAGCTGCTTTTCTCGGGATCGATACGGAATCTGCTTTATGTACAGCAGCCTGAGTCTTATCACTGTTTGAGATGCAGAGGAGGCCTAATGCTCATTTAAATTCTTGGGATTTATCCAAAGGGAAGGAAAAGGCAGAAGAAAAGGATGTTTGACGGGCAGAAAGAGAAACGCAGGCCTGTGCTAGCAGGGAGACGGGAAAATGTGATGTTAAAGGTAAACCACAAAGTGCAGTGTAGAGTCATTGCAGGCATGGTTTTAAAGAGATCCCTCCGTCTGTAACACCAAATCCTGTAAAACATCTAAAATAACCTCGAGGAACACGACTCCTGCTGGTCTGTGAGAGGTTAACTGTGGTGGGTGGAAACGGACTGAGGCGGCTGTAGAGAAGAATCCCTAAATTTAGAAGCGATAGCCACTGAGAGGAAAGTAAAATGGGTTTAATGCGAAGAGGTTGAAGAGGAAGCAAGGGTGCAGCAGGTGAGGACATGAAAGGGAGGAGGGGAGGAGAGGAGAGGAGAGGGGAGGAGAGGAGGGGAGAGGGGAGAGGAGAGGAGAGAGGGGGAGGAGAGGGGAGGAGAGGAGAGGAGAGGACAGGAGAAGAGGAGAGAGGGGGGAGGAGACAGGCGAGAGGGGAGAGGAGAGAGGGGGGGACACGCTCAAAGGTTCTGGGTGGAAAAAAACTAAATTGAAACATTTCTTTGATGGTGGAAAAAAGTATTTGCTTCAGGAAAACGCTCTGACAGCTTCCTTGTTGATGAAAAGTGTCATACGCAGGAAAAATGTGTCACTTGTTACTGACAGGTCTGAACGAAACAGAAAGTTGAAAAGGAAAAATGTAATGAAACGGTAAACCAGTCTGACTGCCCGGTGATAGCAATGAAAATCAATTATAATTACTATCCAGGAACACAGCGACCTGCAGCACTGTTATCTGTCTGAAAGGATTAACAAAGAGAAAAACTGCAGTGAAACGTTAGACATAGAAACGTATGGTCACACTTCTTTTGTTGCTAACTTTACTGCATATGAATTTCACTTAAAGTTCCAATATTTTAAAAAGAGTGCATTGAAATGAATCATACAGCATCAATTTCTAAAGTTTACAGCAGTCAATTAGTAGCCAATTGCAGCTTTCCAAATACTGGAAATTGAGATCTCGAGTATTTGACGATATTTATTTAACAATAACAATGTTTTGAATAATGACTTTAAAGATTGTCAAAAAATAATATAAAATAGTGCAAATACTGAGAACAGTGCAAATGTCTGCAATATAAAAAATAAATGAAAAATGTAAACATCTATGTTTAGTGAACTTTGCAGTGTTGCTCTGTGGTGCAGCTACGACACCGTAGCAAAGTTTACACACTGTGTCTACTTGATCCACGTCTGACTCCGTGAACCCATAATGTTTCCACACCACTGAAGTTTTTTTAACCTCTCTTTTCAACCAACAGCAGTCACTCTCCTCTCCAAATAACTTCTGCT